GCAAAAGAGAAAAATATTTACTGTGGTTGCTTGGAGTGATTAATAGTGCATCACGTGTCTTTCTGAAGGAGGGTTTTGTCTTTCAAAATGCCCTTGTGTTCAAATGCTGCTGCCTTGAGGTTCAACCAGTCCATTGGGAATGGAAGGTGGTTTCAGAGAGTGAGAGTGTCAAGATGGGTGGGATAGGCTCCTCTTCCTGGCCCCCTGGGGAGGAACTCCTGGGCTTATTCTGAATCCCACGCAGCCCTTAGAGCAGGAGTTCCAACTGGTGCTGGCTCCTATGGCTTTTGGGAAATCCGTAACAGCACAGTGGCTGGGAGGGAGGAGAGACTTCTTTCAAGAGCATCTTGAAGGCTGTTCTAGGGAACACCTATCTGAAGAGGGCTCTTTGAAAGCCTCCCAAGAGGAGAAGTTACAGGGACCAGTTACAGGGTATGGGCTCTGCTCAGAGCCATTAGGAGGGACCTATTTCCTTAGCCCAGTAGTTTCCTCGCTTTGGCATAGATGCAGTTTGCATGGGGTCACTAAATAAACAAGTGCTGACAATTTTGCATATTTCCTCAGTGGTATTTATTATGCCTTCATCCAGGCACTGGAGGGCCCTGTTTATTTAAATCAGGAGAATCCACATGTCCCCTACGCCTGGTGCAGAGCAAGCACAGTGCCTACATGCAGCCAGAGCGCAGTCTGAGGAGACCCGTCGGCTTGAAGTTGTCATGGTCCCTGCTCCCCAGCGGAACAGCAGCTGCACGACTCTTATTTTTGTGATGTGGGGCATGTCCGGGTGTGTGGCAGGGGGAACTGAAATGTCTCTGCTGACTTTTTATACCTTCAGATTTTTTTTTCATTGCTCTTTTTGGAAAAGGGAAGCCCTTATTGGGGCGAATTCATAGGTTTTCTGTAAATGAGTTTTGTGTGTGTGTTTTTTACCCCCACACTCCACTGGTGACTGATTTCCGGTGGTGGAAAGGCAGAATGGTTGAAGTTCTCTTGAAAAAGGAGGTTCCCAAAGAGGCCAAGAGGCTTGTGCTTAGGTGAAAAGATTTTTCCCCAGTGATGGATCTGTGGATGCCCGCGGGAGACCTGAAGGGCCTTCAGAGCACAGGACATGTGGTGAGAAAGCTTCAGGCTTTGAGGGTGTATGGCCTGGAGCTGCAGTTTGATCAGGGGAAATTTAAAATTTCTGGTCAACTCTACTTTGGGAAATTGGATTTTCATCTTCTGTGTAACCTCATTTCAATCTCCTGTTTCATTTTCTTTGGCTCTTCTTTTACTTATTATTATTATTTTAAGAAATTATTTTTAATAATCTTACATTTTTCTTTTAAATATTCTGGTTTGGTTTTGTTAAAGCTATTTTGATGCAAAGATCCAGAAGCTGCAAGATAAGGCAATCATGATTTCAGACAAACTGTTTCTCCTCTTCCAAACTTGTATTCGTGGGCTCATGTCTCATGCTGGTGGCAGTAGGGATTACAGTGTTTATGGTGGCATTAGAAATGTTTATTGTTACAAAGGTCAGTGTGCAATGCACCAAGTGCAAGTTTTCACCTTGCAAATACACTTGGCTGTCAGGATTCTGTGGGAATTGTCTTGAGGCTTCAGATTCTATATTTCCCGGTCACTTCGTAAAGATACTCTCAGAAGCACCCTCACGTGGCCTCCTGCCTGCAGTCAGTTACAGGAATTTTTGGCAGCTGCTGGTGGTGGACTCATGGGTGGGCAGTCAGGCGCTCCCTGGGAGCCGTGGGAGTTCTGGGACTGCAATAGTTACTGCTCTCCATATGGTGGTTGTGCCAGGGCACACCTGTTGACACTGTGGGTTCCAGGAACTCCAGGCATCAGAGGGTGATGCCCTCTGCTCATAGCACCTCCCCCAAGCCCTCTTTGTTCATTGATTCAAAACAACAGGAGGCAGGAAGCCTTTGCTTGACAAGGTCCTCGAAATGCCCAGCTGGTCACTTTCGGCCAAGGGTTAGAGGTGGCCATTCCTGGGAGACAGTGGGACCCTGCATGTTCTCAGGGCCTTGGTTCTTCCTCAGAAATGTACATGCAAATCAGGCGGGGTGGGGGGTTAGCTGTAGACCTTTCTTTGATCTGGTCTGAGAAGTGTGCCTGTGGTTCAAGTCTTTCTTGTCCCCCAACTAGAAAGTGACCTCAGCGCTCAGACCCCCAAACAACCCTGTGCCCCGAGTTTCTTCTGAAGGCAGAATGCCTGAGGCTGCACCTGGTGCTTAAGAATAGCTGGAAACCCAGTGAGAGACAAGTGTAGGCTGAGTGATGAACAAAGCTGATGTGGCGAGGGTGGCCGTGAGAATGAGTAAGCAGAGTGTGGGAGGACAGGTGTCCTCCTCTCTGAGCTGTCAGGCCACACCTGGGGTCTGTGGTCAGCACTGGGCATCGCCCGCCATAAGGGGAAGTGAAAGTGGAACTTGTGCAGGAGTAATGCGAGTAGAAAGAAGGTTTGGAGGGATTCAAAACACATCTTTAAGAAATAGCTGAAGACACTGTACAGGGGACCTGGTATCTGTCTACAGATGCTGGGAAGGGCTGCTACTATTACTGCTACTCATGAATATACAGGGTGGGGCAAAAGTAGGCTTACAGTTGTTCATATGGAAAATAATGTAATTAATAAATAATACAGGAACAAGCTCTGTGTTTTGCAC